ACTGGCAGCAGCCCAATCACCACCAGTAGCTCCAGTCCATTCCTCACCCTCCTCGAAGTAAGCAGCATTAGCAGCAGTACCCTCAACACCAGTAGTAGCAGTAGCAGCAGCCATACCAGTAGCCTCGACCATAGTGTTCTTAGAAGCCTCATAGGCAGCAGCCTCAGCAGCCATACGCTCTTGACGCTCGATCTCTTCAGGATCTCTCCAGAAGAAGGAATCAACCATAACTTCCCATTCAACACCACGAGGGATCTTACCACGTAGCATCAATACCTCACGAGCAAGTAGATAATAAAGAAGAGCAATACTCTCTTTACCCTTATTATTGCATGGTATGGCAATATCTACGAAATCAAGAGGGGAATCGGTATCACATAAAGCAATAACAGGTATGTTAGCATAGGCAGCCTCCTTTATAGCTTGAGAATCGGTACGAGGATCAGTAACAATCAATAGACGAGGCTCAGTGAACTTAGGAGTTATCTGATTAGTAAGGGAACCAGGAGTCCAACGTCCAGCAACAGCAGTAGCACCAATAAAGTTAGCAAGCTTAAGAACAGCACGAGAACCATAAGGACGCTGTGATACAACCATAATATCTTTAGGGTTCTCAATGGTAACCATAACACGGGCAGCAGCCATAAGCTTCTCCCAAGTCTTACCTAAAATATAATAACAACAACAAAACTACTGGAGGATGAGGATGATGATGATGATATTACCCAAGTTAATGATATTGATACCATCCTTATTACGCTTGAACACGTAACGCTTCATACGATAATCCAAGTTACGAGTACCAAGATGGGTCTAAAAGCAATGAGAGAATGATGATGATGATGATGATTAACTACGATTTTATTATTATTATTATTACACTGCAGACCAACATCTTCTGGATATCTTCCTCCTTCTGAGTAGTAGGATCATAGACAGCAGCAGCAGCAACGGGATCAGCCATGTTGTTGTTGTTGATTGGCTTCTTGTTGATAATAAGAAACAACGGCTAATATGATAATAATAATACCCCATTGTGGTCCTAGGTATCCCGCCTACCCCCGCGCGGGCGCCCTGGACCCTACCATTAATCGATCGAGTGATCGATTAAGCTAGAATACCTTCATCCAAGATAGCAAGATATCAAGAAGTTATACCAACTACTACTACTAAGATGATTGATGTCATAATATGATGATGATGATCGGGATGGTATTACTTGGTGTTCTACTATTCTTATTCTTCTCTTTGCTGTTCGATATACTTACTGTTCCACCCTGTCGGCTATTATTCGTATACCCTAAATGTTGTTAATGTCATTATTATTGCCTATTATCTGGTAATAAGGATTCGTTATTATTATCAACATCATGTTTGACGACGACGACACAACATCATAACCCCTACTAACTTGAATAATACCAACTCAACAGTAATCAGTAATACTAATCGATACCATCATCAATAACATTATTATTACTACTGCTAATCCCCAAATAATAATAACACGATGCGTTTACATTACCGATAGAGGCAGCAGCAAAGTGTTGTTGAACTACCAATCGTGGATAGCATCAAGGATGATTATGATCATTCAAAAGAGCGCACCACCACCACAAACCGCATATCTTATCTCAAAAACACTACTTGCTATTACTTATGCTCATCGTCATAATAGTAAATAACATGTTATCGTATTTAGTAACAACTAGGTAACTATTACTACTACTGTTTGCTACTGTTCCTCGACATACATTAGTATGATGAGTAGTGAAGAATACGTGTATCATGAGTATAATCATAGTTCGCATTGTTGACCACCATAACACAATAGCTCTTCAAGCATCATCTTATTCGGAATAAAGCAGCACGCCCGCGATTAGGATAACCAGGATGGCCTGATGAAGATTATGATAATAAAGGCAGCAAAGGGTTCAAGGAGGAGGAGGAGAAGGAGAAGGAGGATAGTATACTTACTAAGAACTCTAGAAAACCCATACCAATAAGGGTATAAGTGAAGAGATCCTCCTTCATACTAGGATTCCTCGCAATACCAACAACCAAAGCAGCGAACAACTGACCAATACCTTGAGCACAACCACCAACAGCAACAACAGCAATAGCTGCACCGAGAACTGAAGTACCTAATAATAATAAGGAAAATATTAAATAGTTATCATCATTGAGAATAACAACAACAACGATGATGATAATCTTACCGGCACATCTTATCTGTTGAGAGTTATTGATACCAGTCAGAGAGCTTGATACACCACAAGGTTGGCAACATGGGGACAACAAGTTGTTGTTAGAGTTCATGTTACGGTATGATGATACACCTGATTTAACAACAAGATTGGGGGGGACTGGAAAAGTACTAATGACTTACTCTTAGGGATCATCATAGGCTCCTGCCTCTGCATACTAGTAGTATTAGCAGCAGCAGTAGTGGTGGTATAACAAGCTGCTGATGATGATAATGAGCTTGGTGGTCTTGCCACCAAATTAGAGAAGCGATTTAAGACAGCAGCATGAGCATAGGTATATGATCCATTGAATATACGGCCCATAGCACTAGTAGGAGCACTCGGCTTCATCATCATCATCAAACTAAAACAATGATA